GAATTTATTAATTTAGAATAATTAGTCTGAACGCCACGTCTGAGCATGCATTACAGGTAGTAAAGACTCATATATCAAAATGAAACCTTAGGAAACGTCAAATTTGAGAATGTCATGCCTCGCGGGCAAAGATAGACAAAGACAAAGGGGATTTTCTTGGAGACGAGGGCATGGCTGTGGAAATGACTTCATCTCTAATTTCTTCGTCGAGCTCTAGAGCGCTGTATTTTTTCCGCTCATTCGAAACCAAAAGTTTGATATAACAACTGATTTTCTATAGTAGCAACCCGATCATTGCTAGTCCAGCAGCTGGGATCAAGTATTCATATTTACTCATATGTCGAAGTACTGACGGCTTCCTGTGTTGATTACACTCAGCGTTTCCTGGTTTAACAGCTCCATAAGAAAGCAAGTAAATGAGTTTGAATACAATATTGAGAGCGTAATTTAGATTTTTCTGATGAATCGGCGATAATCCATTTAATTAGTCATTCTAGAAGGGCTCGTAGTCATAAAAAGATTAAAGGAAGCACTGATCAACGAATCTTGTGAAATCAGTGAATGCTAATGAACTCGCGTTTTCTTGAAGAGCTGGTAGGAGACTAGAAACACCGTAGTTGGAGTGAATAAAACGCGTAGAAGGTGCCAACTAATGATGATAAATGGGCAGCAGTGAAGCCATTCAAAACGTCAACCTAATTAACCACGTAGACAGGGCTGGGGAAGTCAAGCGATATGGCGAAATATACAATAACCGAACAAATGATAATCAGTTTACAGATAATTCACTGTTTTTCAAGATGAGCCAACAGGAGGTTCTCATTGAAACATTTATTAATTCACAATAACCGACGTTACGGCGGTTTCGTCTTCTTCTAAGCCTGGAAAGGTCACCCCAACATACACACTCAGCCAAACACTTTCATAACTCATATGAAGCTTAGTACACAACTTATCATTGGCATAATTTTTTGAGCCTTCCAGTTATTTGGTTGAAACCAGCCATAAAGAGCCTTATGTGGACGAGGAATATGCTTTGCTCATGTCAAAAAAATCAACCTGCGGTGTGGCTCGAGATCGCGCGTGTTAACAAGGCACTCTCACATAGAGCTTCGTTTCTGGATTGTTAACATTGATCTAAGACGTTTCAAGAGTTTTGTCCGCTGATGCTTTAGATTTCTGTGCGAGAATAGTGACTTCACTTTAAAATCTTTTCTGTTATGTCTCTGTGTCCTGTAAGTGTACGGTCGAGTATTTTGTTTCACCTCAGCTTCACCTACTAGTTGTTTTTCAACACAGATTATGCATAGACCTTTGTACAAACTGTTACGAACCAGATGGCGTATTAGAGTGTTTGGTGGTGTTTCAATCACTGTTAGCAGATTTTCCAGACCGGCCTTCTTTAAAAAGATTTTATAACTGCACTTATTTCATTGGAAATAAAGAAAAGGATAAGGGGCCTCATTATCTCCAGAATTATCGTTAGCAGACGTGATTTTCTTCCACACTTATTCCGAGGAGCAGCAGTTTCGTTGCCGTTTTAAATAACTGTCATTCGCTCCATTTTCAGGAACTCTCCCTTCCCCTCTCTTCCAGTGCACACACTGGAGGTTATTCGAGGCATGTTTTTCACAAGCACACATTTGTTGAGGGAGAGGTGAGAGGAAAAGTAATGAACCTGAATTTTTTTTCTTACTCGGCTCCCGGTTCCAAATAATGATTTAGCTACTTTCGAATACGTTAATTTGCACATTTAGAAATGGAAGCCCATCTTTTTTGGTTCCCTCGAATAAGCTTAATGCTTTGACTGTAAATTGAATAACTCAAAACATTTGTCTATTTCCTCTTGTGTGGGGCAGACGGCAATGCAATCATCTATATTTTTAAACCAGAGTAGTAGTGTGAGACCGTTTACTGGTGCTTCCACCAGGCAATGATATGGCTTGGTAGTAATCGCTGTCCCATTGCCAGCCCTTTATAGGGTCGGGTAATGTTGTGTGAAACTGCTAACTGTGGTTGCATTTCACATAATACCTCGCCGTGAAGAATTACAGTAGGCAGTAAATAAAAAGTACACATTGTGATTTCGACAACACTTTAGCTTAACTGAGTTCAATGCCGATATGGGCTTCCAGATCAATCCTGTTGACGGGTGATTGCTGACGGCAGCGATCGAAAGAACTAGCTGAGGGACAGGCCAAACGAAGAACCCGAATTCTGCGGTGGCGAACAGGTTAGCCCTCTGAAAGAGCAATAGCGAGTTCGATCCCCACCGCAGACATCTGTTGTCAGTTTTGCCAAAATCTTAGCATCATTCTGATTTCATTTCGCACAATACCCTGTCTTGAAAATTTATGGCAGACGGTAAATAAAAGGTTAATATTGTGGGTACACCAGTATATATTAACTTATGAGGTTTTCACAGGTACCCAAAGGTGGGGGCATGTTGGTAATTCAATTTTGAATTGAGAAGTATCTAATGGTTTTCAACTGGCTAATTTTGCTACTTTGACCTATTCGTTGTTCAATTTTCGGCACTGAGTTTTAAATTGCTTGTTAGATGATGGACGATAAAGGAAAGCGCCTTAAAGCTGTTTTCCTATTGTTTCAACATCTGATTGAAAACGAGTGACTATAAGCTCTTTTCCGTTATCACTAACCGGTGGCCTAATTGTTTTCGATCTTGTTAGTTCACGAACCTGTCACCAACCGCACTGATAGTGTAACAGTTTTTATCGAGATAGTGATTAAGGACTTTAATTAAAGGTTTTTGTTTAGTGATAAACGAGATTTGATATATACTTCATTGTTGGTCTCTTGCTGTCTAAGGAACGGTTGAGGAAACGACGGTCGTGGTAATTCCTCTACTTCTTCTTCTTCCTCACTCCTTAGTTTTCAAACTGTAGCTGAGTTAGGGCTTGAACAAACTTTGTCTTGAAATCCATGCAAACTACATGGGACTCTTCGAAAGGATAGTTTAGGAATGAATACAGATGATGTGAAACTTGTACCTAATTCTAATAGCAAGTGCTTGAAGCTACGAAGAATTATGTTTCATAACACAGTGACCCTTAAATTTCTGGCACGCTACTGACCCTAGTTTGACTCCTGCCACGTTTTTCAAGGGTGTTTTTTTGTTTTCTTCAACACGGTTCATGCGGTTGGTTTAATAGTTTGTGCTGAGGCTGCGAATGTATTTGGTGAGTAGATTGCATGTCAATTTGACCTTTCCAGGTTCTGAAGAAAACGAAACCACAGAAAGGTCAGTTATTATACATCAATAAATGCTGTAAGAACAACTTCGACTTTGCTCATCAAGAAAGTAGTGATTTATTGAGAACAGAGGTATTCCAGCACATCTCCTATTTGTCCGGAGAAAACTAAAAGTTTATTAACGTACAATCAATATCAACAATCATCGTTATCATCGATACATAGGTCTAATATGCATTAAATCACCTCTGACGATGCTCGATGAAGTCAAGTGCACAGGGCATCCCCCACGGATTGATCAACATCAGTGGCTTCATTCTTTGCCCTTATCCATCACATATTTGAACTTTTTGTGCCAAAGGTGGTAAATTTTACAGCATTTGGAGCGGGTAGGATTAAATTCCGTGTGATGAGTCCGTGATCACACTATGAATACAATTACAAGGTTAATGCACGCTTTCAATACGATTAAAAATGAGAAAAGCTGGATTTTTGCACTCGAAGGTAAGCATCATAAATGTTGACTAAGCAACGTATACAAAAGACCATATCAATGTCGTTGTGAATCCACATAAAATAATAACAGAATGAAGTGTTTCTACGGTTCTTCTTCTACCATCTTAAATTAATTTAGCCAAAGTCCATCATGTCGGCCTTGGAGAATTACTCTAGATCTCAGTACATGAAGAATCTTTGTGAGACCAATATTTTAGAGGACATCTCATCGTCAAAATTTTTCCTTATGTACTCCGTGTATTGCCATTTTCAAGCGAAAGCTTGACAGTAAATTGCAGAAGAACAACATTATTTCAATACCATACCAACTGTTTTTAATATAGGAAATAATTTATTACTCCGTGATACATTATGCGATGAGGAACATCACTCCTTAATAAGCAACTTAAGACTCAAAACTTATGAATATGGTTTATCTGGAGAAATAACTTAATAACAATGACACACAAGATTACACTTATTCGTCTCAACGCTTACATTTGGCAGCAGTCCTAGCGTCATTCATTGAACTCTTACTTCTCTTTTTTTGTGTTTTTGATCAAAGGTCAAAGGAAACTCTCTGAAAAAGCGTATTTCACACAGTTAACAATAAATGAGAAATAGTTAAAATGTAAATGATTTTGGGATTGGAAGAGGTTCACGGACTATCGATGACGAGGAATAAAGTAATGCTCGCTCGTCGTTGGCCAGTACCTCAGATCTCCTCCACTGACTAGTGCTGCTCCGATAGATAATGGTAAAGAAACGAACCACCTTTAGGCTGAGTCCAAAAGTGAACGAAGAATACGGACGTTATAAGTGGTTAGAAGACGAAAACAGCATTCATAGGAGAAGTGGTATCTGATGTTAAGATGTAACCGCTAGAAAACACTAAATATCGAATATCGAATCCTGTCAAAAATCTCAGTCATGTACTAGAAAAAAACAGCAACACACTTTAGAACTGATTCGAACATGAACTCTTCGAGGAAAATCTTTCATAGAAGGGGCTTTTTACGTATAGTTATCGTCCAGGCGATGCACATAGGTATGTCTAGGAAAACCCCCAAGACTAGCAGGTGATGATCCAACAGCACTCAACGATGACGAGTACACAGAGTAGACATCAAGAGATGTCTCCTAAAGACAATCAAAACAGATTACAAAGTACGCAAAACTACATGTGACCGAATCTATTTCTACCCGACGTTACCGATATAATTTCCGGCTGTCAGATGCAAAATAGTGTTTAATTTAATAAGAATCGATAGCCCATCAGATTATATGGAATTTCACTTTTTCATCATTCTAGGCAATGCTTCAAAATTTAATCCTCGATTTGGTCAATTGTGGAACAGAAAATAATTAGAAGTAGTTACCTTTGTTTTCCTACGAAGACGGTAACCGAGATAAATAGCGACGGTTATGGATGCAATACAAAGAACTATGAGAAAAACTATGCAAAGCATTAGCGGATGTGGAATCCTTGACGCAGACAGTAAACAATGTTCTGTGGATCTTGAAGACACTAAAATAGTCGTCTTAGCACCTAATACTTAGAGAAATACGGCAAAAATTGGCGGACGTAGGCCGATGGAGTTCAGTAGTTAAGGATGCAATTCAATACGTATGGGATGGCTCTTTGGTTCGATCCCCCACTTTGGATAAACAGGCCTTCCACCTGCTCGAGACGGCAAATTGGTGCCAGACTTGTCTGGAAGGGTAAAAATACTTGACAAACCTATGGGTCACCACAAGTCACCGTGCGGAAGAAAATGCACTCAATCATACCCACGATATTACGCTTGGAGATAAAAGCACAGTGTATCCTCAGCGAATTGGAAATTCTATTCTGCATCAAAAAGTCATTTTTCCACTTTATTCAGTACCAACAAATCAGGCCAACCAATTCTTTTAAAAGTCCCAAAAAGTTGTTTAATGCTAATGAAAGGCAAAAGAAAAAAGAGAATAGAAAGTGGTTCTATGGTAGAGTAGAGCTGTCAGAAATCGCCTTCAGAAAACACTTGCTTCTTTAGCGCGTTTCGTTAATAAATGGACTGTGCCAGTTTCTCAATGTGTGAAAATCAAACAAAAAGCGAAGTGCTTCTATAAGAAATTTTAAGAAATTCGTTGTATCACAATGTAGCTTCCCAGCCACAACTATGACACATGGACCCTACCGATATATCAGGTCAATGTTCCTATACTCCTATCTAAATCTGGTACCAACTTGCTGTTCCTTGAGAGATGAAGAAAGTTTTCACGGGCTCCAGATGGAACCGACTTTGTGTGGGTACCCCTGGCCACTACGCCACAGCTCCCCCATTGGCAACGAAATGTGGAAGAAATATTACATGTGTTAAAATCACAAAAAGCGCTTAGAATATTTTAAAACGCAGCCGGGAAAAGAAGGACGTATGAAAATTAGAAGAGGAAAAAATGAAGACGAACCTTCCTCTGTTTCCATTTCATCAAGAATTGTTAGAGACTCCCTCACCGAAACTTGCTCAACGAGGTCCTCCTTGTTGTACAATGGAGTCGGTGCTCTTTTATGTCGGAATCGTAAACGTTCTGCCGTTAAATTTGAGTTCGAAATACGTTTGAAACAGCTCTGCAAGCAGCTCATGTTGAAACAACTGTTCATCACAACATTTCATAAGTATCTGCGTTTGAATTTCATTTATTCATTATTCTTTTACAGAAAAAAAAACCTGCCTGAACGCATTCCGAACCGTCCAGACACACTTGGACAGTGCATTGTGCAAATACAGTACTCTGATTTCCGAAACGAAAAGTTTTGAACTTTGAGAAATACACTTCTTCATTGACGTTTGCTAACGGATCAATAATTTCAGACAGTTCTTGTACGGGACAACTAGAACACGGAAAATAAGTGTTCATCTTATTTCCAGAGCAAATGACTAATAGCGAAAAATCTAACCTGCTCTGAACAAATGTCAGATGTCGAGCGTCAGGTGAGAGCATATCTTCACGATCACTGAACATGCATTCTTTCGGAGAAATACCGTGATAGGCTTCTGGAAGGTAAACATGACAACGGTGAGCATAATTTTAAGAGCGCTACAGTACTACTATTACTGCGTTGTTATCCAAATTACGTCGACAGAAAGATAGGTATTGATGGTTGGCGGACAACGCGTGTGCGAGGTCATCATGTTATGACCTCTGCCTGTTTATGTTTTCATTCATTTTTCATCAACCTCGTCGAAAAGAGAGAAATGTTCAGCCTTAAAGAACTTGTTGAGTTCTTGATTAGGAAATCAGAAATCTTACTATCAGGCGTTAGAGCAACATAGAATTCGACGGTGTCACCAAATTTCGCAGTGCGTAACGGTCTTCCATCAGTACTTCGAAACATCATTTCCACTTTGGGCTTCGGTTTACCACCTGTTGATGCCAATACTTCATGCGCTCTGAAAATCAAATGAATATTTGTTATAACGATTGAAACTAAAACAATACTATTCGAAAGTGAGGAAAATGATTATCAACCAACGAGGACACGTCACTGTATCGTATTGTCTGAACACTTCTAGTATATAGACAAAATACATGGTTGATTCGAACAACTTTGGTTATACTGGTATCCACATTGTCCTCGAGTGCTATCGTAGTTTCCGCTGTTCGATAGTTCGGTTCCTTTAACATTCAACATTATTTTTGAACAACTTTCCAAGAAATTCTTTAAGCAAGCAAATGTATAGAGCTCTCAACATCAAACAATTCCTGGCGTATAAGCCATTCAACTGACTTTTCGTAACATCGTAGAAGTGAATGAATGCATAATCGATCTATCCAGTGACTTACCGTAACACAATGGACGTATTACGTTAGTGTATTTATCCTGTTAGACAAATCTGCTACCAATTTACCGAACCCGGAAGAAAAGTAGACAATATCGAACCAACAAACCAGTGTGTATTGCATAGAACTTCTAACCAGTACGCTACACGCCCACATTTTTCATGCTCTTTTCATTTCCCAAACAGTTCTTTCCTATGAAATGAATGAGATAGACAGAGCGTGAGAAGCAGTGAGAGAGTGAGAATGTAGGAAATCGCGCATTTGTAGCTTGTCTAGATTTCATCTAGAGATTTCCAGTAATATAAAATTTAAAAAGAAACTGCACACAAAAATCAACTGCTAACCAAATCAGCAAGGTGAACATCACAGTGCTTTCCGTAAGGTATAGTTAAATTGAAATTTTGTTGTCCTTTATCATTCTTCAACGATGTTCCACATGGCACAAGCGTTTTGTGACCGTACACATACACCTAAAATAAAAATGCAATAATTTTAGTCAGCCATTTTCAGTTAAATAAACAGTGAAGTATAACCATAATAACGCTAAGATATTTGCAAAACCCGAACCGCAGGTGTCAGTGGGTCAGCGGTGGGGAACGAACCTGTCATTACCGCTTCCGGGGGAATAGGCGGTAAATAAAAAATGACTACGTTGTGATTTACAGTATAGCTTCAGCATAACTGAGTTCAATGCCGATCTGTGCTTCCCAGATTAATTCCGTCGACGGGTGATAGAATGCTCAGTGGTGATGGCACTGTTAGATAGAAAACTAGCCGAAAGAAAAGCGAAACGATGGATCCGCATGACATGGTGGCGAAAACGTTAGCCCCTGGAAAGGATGATAGCATGTTCGGTCCTCACCGCAAACAGTAGCGGTCCGGAGTTTCGCAACTATCTCAGCAACTTCGTATTCTTGTTGAGCAAACGCGAGGTGTTATTTCCATTTTTATTCTTTATTCATGAATAAGCTGACGTTTCGGCGTATTTCGCCTTCCTCAGAGCCTGGAAAGGTCAAGTTGACAGCAATCTACTCGGCCAAACACCTCCATAACCAAACAAAGAAAACGCTAAACGAAGACTTCGATCACATTGAACACAACTTTGCACACTCACCGTTTTCTATGAGGCTTCCACTGACTATATCGCGTGTAGACCAACCGCACAGAATTAACATAGAAGCGCAATGTGCCCCTCTCATCAGAATAACAGGTTTATATACTACCCAATACCACGCGTGATCATGAGGAATTCTTCCCTGCGGTTCATTTTCGGATTTCGGGAACTAATCTAAAACGCCTCGAGAGTTTTGCGCGCTTGCGTTCTAGATTCCGAAGCGAGTAATGTGACACGTACTTCAAAGTCCTCCCCGTTATGTCTCTGGGTCATACGCGTGCCTAGTGAAGTATTTCGTTGACGTTTGCCTGCTAGGTGTTCTTTTATACGGACACAGAAGGGTCTGCCTGTTTCGCCAATGTATTCTTCTTCGCACGCCTTACAGGAGATCAGATGAACTGCATCCGAGCTCATGCAATCACCGCCTTCACCATTGGGGCAAATTATGCAATTTTGCGTTGCACATAGACGGTCATATAGGCGGTTACGAACTAGCTGGCGCCTAAAAGTACTCGGTGGCATTTCAACTACGTTTACCGAATTCTCTAGACCCGCCCTTCTTAAGCAGCGTTTTATAGCTACACTTACTTTATTTGAAACGAGGGGTAGGATAAACGGGATCTTTTAATCGCTAGAGTTGTCGTTTGGGGGCATAGGATTTCCCCTATACCTCTGACGAGCTACAGTTTCGCAGCCATTAAAAATGGCTATTTGCCGCGCCAAGTTCCGGGACTCCTCTGCCTGCTCCTTTCCTGACACGCTAGCTGCTGTTCGAAACATGTTTCTCACAAGCGCCCTTTTCGCCTCTTCCCTTTCCCTTTTTGATGGGACATTACCTATTTCAGCATCATTGTGGCAATGTATCACATCATACGTTGCCATGAAAAACGACAGGCCAGTAAATAAAAAATGACTATATTGTGCTTTAAATAAACAGTTTTTTAAACTACGACTGAAACTTCAAGCATTAACTACTCACCACTGGTTGAGATTTTGGATCACTCATCCAACGTGCAATATCAGGATCTGTTCTCTTCAGCATGACAGTGAGGCTTTCCGATGAACATGCTACTTCTTCCACTATAAATATAGGATTATAAAACTGTTGTGTAAAGATTCTTTCTTTCGCAACAATGACTAATACATTCCTTTTCATGGCTGGAATCCAGTGCTACAGCAATTACTACAAAACTTTTCTACTTTTTCTCAATGTTATTCATAATCGGACTATGTTTAGGTGATCCAAATATTCCTGGTGAAAGAAAAATTTCGATACCCGTGTTTTTTTTCACTACCGTGTATATTTTCCGTCCAAGGACCATTGTGAAGTAAATCAGTAGTCATAAATATGATTCCCGCAAAGGTGGTTCAGTTATATGGCAAGACTACTCAGTTGCATAAACGAAAAAAGAAAAGGAGAACTGGATCGTTGAGCGATTATGAAAATCAGCACGATGTTGACAGCTGAGTGAAAGGAGTTAATGTCTTGTAGCAGAAATTAGCTATACAATTTTCTACAAAGCCCTCGTCGTTGATCAATCCCTGAAGGGATGCACCATGACTTCATTAATCATCGTTTGGAGGTCACTGAATGTATATATGGCCTTTAAAATAAAACGCGGTGGTCTACCAATGCATCAAACCTGTGCTGCTACCCTCCCAGACAAGTCCGGCACCGGAGAGATGGAACGCTTGGTGGGCCATGGGGGAAGGGACCGATACCGTGTGTGTATTGCAGGTTTCACATGCTTCTACATACTGGTAAGATTATCATAGTGGAGTCTTAAGGTGCTGCAATTGTAATAATCTACATTTATACCTACGTTTCAAAAAGCAACGACAGTTGAATGAGACTGGAACGATTAGAGCAGACCGACACTGAACAGTTATGAGAACTTCCACTAATGGTATTTCACTTAAAACTTTACGTTAAAGAAAATGACATAGACAATAACAACAATAATAACTAGTAATATAATAACCTTCTACTTTTCCTTTAGTATTTTATACTCAATAATTGTGGATCCTCCCAACGGTTTAGCGCCTTATCGTGGCTGGGAGGTGTTCCTGGATGTCGGACTAGGATGCACAGCGGAGGATTCGTCCCCCGGCAGGGTCTTCCAAGCTGAGGAGCTCGGCGTTTCCATCAGGAAGCCTAGCTAAGAGTAAACCAATACCAGGATCCACCACCGTCCTGGTATCAAAGTCGCATGGCGGCAAATTTTCCTCCGATCCACATGGACTGCGAATGTCTGTCGTGGTGATGACCTGGAGCAGACTTTGGTCAGGCTGTCCTCGGGATTCCAGGGAACCACAATGGCTTAACCAGTAAATCTCCGAAAAATGGTGATTATGCTGGGGCCCGCACAACTAGTGAGGACGGGCCGTTCAAGTATCAAGTAAGTAAGTAATTATGGATCTAAACACTACTATGGAACAGCTTATGGTATTGCAGTCTGTGCTCGATGATGATAAAACGATTTCAGAAGTTCACTAACATGTTGAAAACATTTAAATTTTAAGGTCCTTTAAGTCCTAACAAAGTCCTAACATCCACATATGAATAGAACCTTACCAAAGCCATCGGTGATAACTTGTTGAAATACACTAAAAAGTACTAGCAGCACCATAAAATCTGAAATTACGAAAATGAAATCTGTGCAAGAACCGTCTAGTTTCCGGTTGTATTACGGTAATGTGGGCAGGGGCTATTATAAAGCAATAAAAACTATCGAAGAAGACATCTACAAATATTTGTACATAATTCTATGCAACAGACATTAAACGAACATCTGGAGTTTCTGTTACACTTGTCGATATAGGAAATTTTTTAAAACAAATTCGGTATCTTTGCGGAATCTAATCAGCACTAAGTCATGACGTTAGGAATGACTTTATTCATGAGCTGAACCAAGCTGTTCCATAGGCCATCTATCCGAAATAGTCCTAGAAACAGAATCTATCATTCGACACGATTACTGTACGTTCACAACACTGCCTATTTCTCAAAGCAACATAGAATACCAGTAATCTCAACAATTACTTAGGGTCGGTGGACCTACGAATGACGCTAACTTTCCAATTAGCTAATTTGTTGTTAATACTGTACAAAACGGTGGCTACTGGTAGTGCATTGGACAATTGGGTGTTAGGTACACCTACTAATCAGGAGCTTGTCCGGCTCTACCGGAACGGACGTAGGGCGTATTTGCATGATACAATCCGCACACATGCAAAAATACATGCCCAATGTTTACGAATGATTTCATGCATTCGAAAAGTAAAACTTAATTCAGATGGCCAGAGATGAGAATCACATATCTTGAATTCAATTGTGTCTCAGAACATGTAGACAGCTAATTATGTTATTATGTTCCATGTTCGACTAATCGTCCAACACTTTTAAACGTAATTTTGCAACTAATCAGCTCAAGAACTACCACGGAGCGATTTTTGAAGTGTGAGGTGTTAAATCCTGGTACGGATTTCAAAGAGTTCGAAAAACTATGCTTTAATTATGAGCGAGAATATGGTTTTTCTTCTTTGAGGTTTATTTTTTATTCGGAAGATTCTTCTGTTACTATAATCTCTTTGGTGATCTCTACAACTATATCTGAACAACATCTTGGAACAGCGAGCGCCACTAAATTACAAACTTGCAAGTGAGAGGTACAGATTTCAATAATAAATAACTAGCCCTTAGTTATATTAATGTATAAAGCAAACAAAAAAATACAGATATTACATGTAGATTGTTGCTTCGAACATGGATGCAATTGGTAAGGGAACAATTATTCAAATTATACGGTAGGCCAGTGAAGAGACAGGTGGACCATCGAATGACAGTCAAGAGCGGCTCATCACTAACTATAGCTGTTAACGAACTATCCAGTAATATGATGTGGATGATGATTATAGCGGTCAACGATGATAGAATAGTAGTTTGCAGTAATCCTTGATCGATAGTCAAGGGGTTAGAGGCGAATGCAGTCGACGGTCACTATGGTGAAAGACATGGATTGGCGGTCAAGCTGTCGCCGATAAAAAGCTCACCAGCGTCCACCTGTCGTCGTACCTAACGAGCAGCTAACAGGTGAAGGTAGAAGAAATAAGCGTTCACCTCATCGCGACAGTTTTTTCGCCCTCTGAACTATGCGACAGGCTGATTCTTTGTCTAAGAGACCAATAAACGACGTTCTTTTTTTAAATATACGAAGAATATTCAGAACACTATGTATGGAAAGATGAACGGCTTGAATCGACCAATACAGCACAACAAGAGCAAGTTTGGAAATAACAAAAGGAGGTGGCAAAATTAACGAAAAGTGTAAGGGTTGGAAAGCCGCCAACACAAACTGGATAAATACTACGGTAGATAAAAGATAACAGATCATTTGTAAAAAGCAACATTTCTTCCTTGGGTATCATCGCTTCCTTGACGCCAGTGTCTCGTTGAAGCGAATATATCAAAATAAAGTTGCTAACCAGCATCAATAAGCAACAGCAAAAAGGCTTACTCTAAAAAAAACAATAAACCTAAGAAACCCATGAAAAAAATAGTACAAGAAGGGTAGTTACCGCGACTGTACAAGCTCCCCTCTATGAAACAGCACCTTCCCAAATAATGGACTGCTTAAGGTTACCATGTTTAACCACCGAAGACCGTAGGCGAACTCTTAATACCTCTTACAACTCCATGCTTTCTCATCAAAGACGAAAATTATGTCAATATGTTTCTAAAGATATCGAAAAAGGTCGCTGCATGCCTTAGGACACCACAATGGACAACTAGTTATCAGATATCATAATACTTTACTACTAAGCACAGATCGGCTTTTATGATTTTAAAACGATTGCAGTTAGCATAATAATCTAAGAACGTCTTCCTACTGCAGTTGTTATCACAATGTGGTTATAGAGAGATAGGAAGTATGTTCTGGTCAGGTGAACATCACCAAACTAACAGCTTTGTCAGATGGGCGTGATCGAACATGAGACCAATTCAGATGGAAACGCTATACACCACGTAATCACCCTCTCGTTCAGGATTTGACGAGGTCAAGAGCTACAATTATTCTGGACTAAATCGAACGCATATGGCTTATAATAAATAGCCGTATATCAGCCTTAATGATAACTGTCACAAACACCGTAAACTTGAACTTCTACTTTTTGGAAATTGGCTATATTGTAAAGATCAATCATATACAAAATAAGACATTCGATTGTTGGTAGATACTCTTTAAGAAAAAACCTCTCTGTGGAACTTCATAAGAAGAAGAGGTAAGGCTAAAAATTAGAGGTTAAAAAAATTCTTCGGGAATCAAAATGGACTGTTCTCTCTAAGCAAATTGAAGTCTTCGAATAACAGATTTGTATAACACGACATCACTAATTCATTCCAGAATTTCTTTGAAAGCGTTCAGCAACAACTGAACATTGTCAGTTAGCGATGGAAATCTTCCGCTGTCATTGACTAAGTCTCCTCATGCTTAAAATTTGCAGCTAAAATATTTGTCCTCCGTCATAGCCATTGTCGTCAAAGTCGTTGTCGTTAACATTAAGAACATATTTTCCGAGAACGATTTCAGTAATCAGGTTATATATCTATACATAATTCGAAGCAATATATTTATAAACTGATGACTATCGAAAGGACTTCATTCATCTTCAGTCATTTTTTTTCCTTAAATATTGCTCACCTGTCCTTCATAGAAATCACATGCTTTCACCGTGGATACTCGATTGCAATTACTTGTTAATACCATATTCGCCTCTTGCACCTGCCTCTTGACCAATACATTTTGGGTCTCGCAATCCCCGCATCAAATGAGGACAAAATGAAAGGTATCGGACCGCAATAAGTCCACACATACACGCTACAATAGAGTCAGAATTCATTAGTATACATGCAGAATAGTATTCATATGGGTACTGATAATATATGATTACAGGAGCTAAATGTATACGGTACTCAGCACGAAAGGTAGAAGAAAAAAGCAAATATAACGATAACCTTTCGAGAACATCATCGAAAATTTACATATTACTAGAAGGGCTATTTTATACAGTAGTCAACAAAACATCTATTACCAGATCACACCCCCGATTATACTTTGAGAAGACTATCAAAAGTTTGTGACTACTCTGAGTTACCGTAATTATTCCCGTTACGAATAAAAGACCGCTCTTTTGGTCTCTTTTGATGAAAACTGTCTTCTTTGACATCGATATTACTTCGGTACTTGAACTGCTCTTCCTCACTGGCTGTGGGGGCACCAGCATAATCTCCATTTTTCGGAGTTTTGCTGGTTTGGATATTGTTTCCCTGGAGTCCTGAGGACACCCTAGCCAAAGTCTGCTACAGGTCGTCACCATCACAGGCAGTCGCAGCCCTTGTGGACCACAGGAAGATTTGCCACCATGCGACTAATTTGACAAGATGGTGGTCGACCTTGGAATTGCTTTACTCTTAGCCAGGCTTCCTGATGGAAAACCCGGATTTCTTCTCAGCATGGCACACCGTGCCGAAAGGGACGAATCCCACGGCTGTACATCGCAGCTCGACACCTAGGAACACATCCCAGCCACGATGATAAACCGCTGGGAG